ACTACTTGAATCCAAAACTTGGATTCTGTATGTCGTGGTACGAGACTTGTAAGATAACTGCTACCACAGGACATTCTGTTACAAAGTGAAATCGATACTACACGGTGCAACAGCACAAAAGGCTTTCATCTCGATAAAGTTATTGTTTAAACTGTAATTACACAGATAACAACATTATGAAGATGGTTGTCTTCTGGATTGAATCCCCGTGTACTCAGGTAGAAGTTTACGAACGTTTTCAAAGAAACTCCATTGAATTCTACCCCAAGTTAGTAAAATCCAGTCCACGCCCTAAAACTCGACTGTTTAAGATCCATTTTAATACCATCATCTGATCTAAGCCTAGGGACAGAGCTGATCACATGTTTACACCGTGGCTAAGAGCTGAGGTCCTCACGGCGGTGAAGATGTCCATGATGGTCTGCGACTCCACCCCGTGTCGACTTGTTGATAGGTGATGTCCTAAAGACGAAGGCAGTATGTTCCTTCGAAACGTCGGTACCCGCTGCAAGTCGACGTATGAGAAGGTCACCATGGACACTACAGTACAGCATCTTCAAATTATGATCTTTTGTTTCTTACCACATGAATAGATAAGGATCCAAAGGAACAACAAGCAGAACATTACAGTGTTTAAATAAAATTGTGCTTTTGGTCTTGTCCAGCGTCTAAATTATAAAGTAACAAAACTACAACGTTTCGGAAGCTGGGATTTACTTCCGTCTTCAGGTATAAAAGGAAGAAAGACAGAAAGCCTATCTGGTTGACCTAGCCTCAGACCTTGACTAAGTATAAAGGTGAAAACAGGATCCAGCTTCGGAAACGTAGTTTTATTATTTTATAATTTAGATGACGGGCAAAATACATTAGAACAACTTTACATCTTACAATGCACCATCGTCAAAAACCTTTAGGTGTCGATAACATTCCTTGTTTATGGAATGTATATTCGACAATTCCTGCCTTCTGAGAAATTTTGCAGGTATTTTTAAAGAACCCATGCTTGTATTTTTTGTAACTGTTAGTAGTGCACGTATAAAGTACATAGTATAAGGACTAAAGCCCCCTAATGGTCTTTCTTGGTCCTGCACTAGGTCTGCTATCTCATATGAGAGCAGAGCGGTATTCGCCAAGCGATCAATTTGCCAGGAAAGATTACTCCACCCTACACCCTTCTCAACCCCAATTCAGACCCCCCCGCTGGCAACAATAGGACGTTCCTGCAAGTGCGGCCTAAGTGTTACTAGTACGTAAACCACCCTTACCCGATGAACCCCAACACCTAACATCCGCAATTTTCTTCTCGCACGTCAGATGAAGACCCGGATGCTTAGCGACTGAATGATGGGCGGATAGTGAAGCAACGGGGATAAAAAGAAACACAGAGTAAATAAAAAGGGAGAGGTGAACAACATTGCCAACTGCCTGCTTTTTACACGCACAGTCCGTCTCAATAAACTCAACTATAAGTCACGACAAAACTTACTTTAAAGGGTTAAGAATGCACACACTAATCGTTTTCCATTTCAGAAATTATGTTTAACAGACTGAGCTGTGTTGATTGGGGATGGTGGCCTTCTGATGGCGTGTTGTCTTGCAGCTAGCTAGTTACCAACTTTCGGACTAAAGCATCGCCTCCACTCCGAAGATGGAAGCAATCTAGGCACCCTGATGATGCAGGTAGTAATCACCTCTGAAACGTCGGGAAATTTCTGACTGCACGGTGCAATAACCCAGAAGACAGTCATCTTCATAAGCCTCGTCCTAGAACCTCAAATATTCAAGCTCTGTTTCTTAGTCCTGCATCGTTATAATTTTGTACCGAATATGGGCTCTTGTAAAATGTGTAAACAATTATGATAATTTCTATAGACCGACATATTACGTAGGCTTAAAACATTCTATTTGTAGTCTTCTCATATCAGCCACAATTATTGCGGCCCTTTTCCTGCCAGAATCCAATGGTTGGTTAATCTTAGCCTGAATGAAATAATTATACACGTTGATTGGCGTCTTACTATGAGTAGGTGTTCGTTAACGAAAGCAAGTGCAGCCATTTCTCCTCTGACGCGATAGATGCTTCCGTGTAAAACACCGCGATATAGACAAATCGGGTTTCATAATAAGTTGATTCATTTGGAATTAAGGGGTTAGGGGTAGAGCTGGCAGTCAGAAAAATTCACTATTAATGTATCTGTAGCCTAGTTAGAACAATCTGAGCCGTTTTCATACCTGCGTTTATGGTTACATCTCTGAATTTCCTTATTTAATTATTCAACATGCGCCGGCGTTATGGAAACAGCTTTCGGTTGTGAATCAGTCGCGTTATAGGCAATTGGCTTTATGAAAACAAACGTTATAGAAGAAATGACTGTTTACATCAGCGCTGTCTGTGTGGACCGCAGATAATGCTGAAGTAATACGAAGATCAATTTTACAAGGCACAGGCACTTTGAAGACAGTTGTTTGGTTTATTTTGGAGTGTTAGTGTGACATGCCAAAGCCGGTTCATAGGCCACATGAAGATAAAAAGGAACAAGGCTGTAGCTGTGTCACCAGACCTAAAAACAACTTTCTTCTACCAATTTAAATACAAACTACGGTTTGTCATTTAGTCTTGAATGTTAAATGGCGGCCACACCCACGTCTCGTCCGTAAATAAAAACTGCTTTACGCTGTCTCATTACATCAATTCAGAAACCAAGGGAAAATTAATTTTCCCCTGTTGCTCGCTTCTCGTGGCTGAGTTACACGGGCTATTAGAAAGTCTTGCTGGCAGATTAGTGAGCTGAATGTTCCTATTTCTGGCGGGCGACGCGTCCAGACAGATGTACAGGAAACCGTGCTGCACGGCAAACCAGACTGAAGGAACGGGGATCGAAAAATATCCCGCAAAATTCCGCAATAGCGTAAGCTTTGTATTCACAAGAAACAATTTATCTTGTTTCGAAAAGCTGAAATCTTCAAGAATAGTCGTACCACTGCTTTAGCGTTCCATCTTTTCCACTGACTGAAGGGCTTCGTTAACTACTACTCATCAGCATTTCTCATTATGATGATGAAATCAAGAAAGATGAGATATAAAATCATGCATACAAACAAAACTGTTTACACTTAAAAGGACACTAATGTCAAACGCGTTTCGACCTCGAGAGGTCGTCATCAGCGGCAAAAGAAATTAATTCATAAAATACAATTCAAATTGAATTGTATTATATGAATTAATTTGTTTATTTGAATCTTAACATCAATTAAAATAATATGAAGACAAGACATAGTCACAGATTAATTTGTTAGGCATATTTTAAATTCCATATTACACGCCTTGTAGCCGACCATCAGAAATTACTAATTTGAGGTCTTTAGATGTAATATTTTTCTCGCTGTTTCTGTTGAAAAGACTTGAGAGTAATTTTATGTAAGTCGCCGTATTTCGGTTACACATTTTTTATAGTGAGAGTGAGAAATGTGATAGTTCTGCTTTAGTATACCCGTATTTTACTTTCGAATACGGTAGTCGAGCTGCTGACAGCCGAACTGGTGTCAGTTTTGTGAAATAAATATCTTTCTGAGCGTCATAAACGCTACAATTCCCAGGAAGAACTGTACTTGAAGTACCAGCAGGGCGCGTCCTATAAAAAAACGTAAATAGGACGCGCCCTGCTGGTACTTCAAGTACAGTTCTGGTCAGTTGGTTCGCGGATCCTCGTGGTTTAACTCTTCATGCACAGTTATGTGACTTATTAATAGCCAACATTATTTACGAAGATTTCCGTCTTCTGGGTTGTTGCGCTGTGTAGTCTTTTACGTTGTAACACCCTCGATACTGGAAAGATGGCAGCACTGGTCGCACACATGCCGAACATGTGGAGCCGTTGCCAAGGCGCTAATGACGAATTAATGGGGAGGAACAGCAGAAAAGCGATAGAGAGAAGTAAAAAAATAAAAAGAACACGACAAAAAACAGACTAAAGCATCTTAATGAACCCCCGAGAAAGAGAAACGCGTTCTGGTGTTACAGTAAATAAACAGACCAAGCTGAAAAATACTTCAAGAGTCTCCAAATGTTCATAGGTCTAACGGATCGAAATTGTTCTCCTGCTTACAGTCTCATAATAAAAATGCCATCTTACACGTCAACAGCTGATCTCGAGATGCCGCGTCATTGGAAAACAGAAATAAAGTAGACACGAACAGTAGCGAAGGAAGGAAAGACACAGTTATTCAGACATGGAATGCAAACAACTAAGATTTACCGCGCTGTATACGTTTTCAGCTATCTCAGCGAATGAAGAAAGTGGTAGGAACACAGGGCACAGGGCACAGGGCACAGGGCACAGTGGCGTGCAGACGGCATCGCGCTGCACAAACTTCAGACATTTGGCCAGAAACCTATTCTCCGTTCCAGGATTACCGTCACAAGTTCCTACCTTCTCATCTGGCAATACATTGCCAGTTTCTGTGGAATGTGGAATCCGAAATTTTCAAAAAATCTCGTAGGTTGATTCTGTCCTAAACCCAGTCCACGCCCTCACTTTCTGTTAAGGCCTATTTTAATTTTGTGGCCTATCTTTTCATCTACGTACTCCACGAACCTACAAACAATTCGAAAAATTGTAAATGTGAATTTTTACACAGTCTGCATAGCTTCCCGTGCAGTGTTTTATGATGACAAGCTACAGAGAGCCCAATAAATATTCTATATAAGTGGCATTTAACTTACATTCCGCTACTTCTACATTTCCAATACAAGTAATGTGAAGATCTATAATAGATCACTGTATCACCAGTATAGCCTAAAACCATGACAACTCATGATTAGCTATCAAATTTGTTGCATTTAAATCTGAATTGAAAATTAACTTTGTATAAGTTTCATCACAAAGTCAGCACGTGATCTGCACGAAACCGCTGCAAAATTTCGGTAGAATACAGAACTCCTAGCATTAACTTCATGAAGTCCTTCTTTAGAAACTGACAGTATCTCAGGTCATAAAGAAACTGGCCGCCTTTCATGTGATAGGTCGTCACAAGACCCTGCTTCCTTAAAAAAATTTAATTTTCATGTGATACGTCGTCACAAGACCCTGCTTCCTTAAGAAAATTTAATTTTCATGTGATAGGTCGTCACAAGACCCTGCTTCCTTAAGAAAATTTAATTTTCATGTGATACGTCGTCACGAGACCCTGCTTCCTTAAGAAAATTTAATTTTCCATCCACCATATGTTTTAAAATATATACGCCTAACCTCCATTTGAAGTGAGAATTCAACTCTAAGAAAATATGCAATCCATAAATGGTCAACTGGTCCACTACCTGCCATTTTGCTGTCAAAATACTTCTACTGGTTCTGTCTCAACGCTCTAAACTTCCATTTATGTCAAAGACAGAGACAACATATTCTCTGAAACGTCGACAACACCCCAACTTCTACACGGTACCACACCCTGAAGTAAGTTCAACATCGATAATGAATCGCCTCGAAAACTTAAACTCAGCTAATAAATGTGCAGTAACCCAAGCGGGATACGAACTCCTGATCCAATATTTAGGGCGCAAAATAAATGTGCGCGCTATCCCTATTTCGCGAACACCAGGATAGGTTGTTGACTCTGATTAATCTGAGGATGAATTACAAATCGGCGAATTATTTAATTCTGTTCTTCTATATAGCATCCATTGTAGGCAAGTTGCGAGACAAACTTGGCGTAGACAACGATTTATGTGCATACTACTGCCATCTATTGGCAGCAGTTTCAACTTAATGGCAAGATGGCAACAGCGGGAAAGAAAGCAAATGCTGCTCTTCGTTTTCGTCATTGAAGCCACCAAAAGTATAAAAACATACATTAACCACCCCAAAACAATGGGGAATCGGGCCTGCTCTTAAAGCGAATAGAAATTATATTCAGTTTGAAAGACTCATAATAATATCAGCTAGCCAATATATCGCAGTTACACAAAGAACCAAATATATTTTAGGCAATCTGTACATAAATGATTAATTGTGATTATTTTGCTAAAAAGTAGGCTATTTGCAATGTTAAAGTACTTTTGGTTTTTAGTTTCGAGTTAGCATAAAGCAAGACAGACAATAAATTGAGATTTCACTATTTTTGACACTTATACATAAACCTGCCATACTAAAAATTTATGACTATATGCTCAAGTAAGTTGAAAGCTACATTTAACTTAAACTTATCCAGGAAACATAAGACATTTTTTAAAATAATCATAAAATAACTGTTTTCTTACCATTTTATTCGAACGGCCTTCTCGAAACTGAAGTGTTACCCCCATTCTCTCTCTCAAAAAGACGTCGTTACGAAACAGCTGTTAGAAAAGAAGTCGAAATTATAATATAAACGTTAACAAGGGTAACGAGAAGATTGTTCAGTATGTATATTTTCGGTACTTTTACATTCCAACAATCTTGAAATTAATTTTATTAACTATTTGATGTATCAAATATTATATATACTAAGATACTAATTATGTAGGGTACATTACTATAACTCCAATCAATGGAACAACAAAAAAGATTATTATAAAATTAAAATCTCTAAAACTGTATTACGAAACAGTATGACGTAAATTGAATAAAAATTTACTTGGATATTATCCATCGTCTAGTAAATATAAAACGTAAAAACGTAATATCCAAGTAAATCTTTATTCAATTGATTCTTCACCATCGTCAAGAAGTTTTAGATTTGATATACAGTATGACGTAGTCTTTTATAGGGTCAGAAGCATGGACTTCAGACAGAACTCTGAACTACAGGGATCATGTTGAAAGAATATAAGAAAATCACATCCCAAACAGAATTTGTAATTATGGCCCACGACGAAAATTTTATATCGTTAGAGCAACGAATTTACGAAATACGATTACAATTGATACAGAACAGACCACTGGACCTAACCATGAAGTTAATGATCCTACGAGCAACTTATAGTCCGTGACACAGTTCAGGCGTTTGGTCGTCGGCTTCTGACCGCGGAGGCCCAGTATTTGCGCCCAAGCGTGTAAATTTCGAATTTGTGGTAGACGAAATGGCATTGGGAGAGGTCCTTCTCCGAATTATTTGGGTTTCCCCTATCAGTAGGTCAGAGTATTCCACAGCTGTTCCATATTCACGCAAGTATCATCTGGGGGATGGACTCGTCCCATCGCAACAATAATAAATGGGCCTTTTGCGATAAATCGTAGCTTCGCGTAAAGTTTGAGTAGGGAAAAAATTAAATTTTCCGATACACTGTAGCTTTCGCCTACAAACCAAAATCAATCGAAATCTGTTAGCTGGTTTAAAAAATGATACATGTTGAATGGATATGACCATCTCGTTTAGTGTTCATTTCAAATACTGAGTGCAAAGCGCGTACTAAGCCCACTTCCTCATGCAATATTATTCCTAAATATCAAAAGCAAGGCGTAACCCAGTCCTTCGTATTAAACAATTATTGTACATTGAGTACACCCTGCGTGCTGCTCTATGCAAATCAAGCATAGTGAACCTCTTTTAATATCCTGTTCAGCAAACCTATAAAGTTCCACATAACCTTAAAGTTAATTAAATTCCAATGAGGAATTAACTAAGGTTGGATGAGACGTGTGAATTACTGCGACCCGCAAGGGGTGTTCACTTTATGGGGTCGTTAGAAGGCTTTCAGTCGCATTTTAATGGCTCAGTCTTCAATCATACCGTAATAAACAGAAATGGAGGCTTGTGACACTGAACTAGAAGAAGTTGACAACATATTAGTCACTGCAAGACAATGAAATAAATCTTCAAAATCTTTCACAGCCAGAATTGAAAAAATGTCAGACCTCTCTGTGGTTGTTATTTTCCTTTGTGTAATGTGACTGACTTATGATTATCCGGACTAAAACTTATGCCTATGTTTTCATTTCCCGATGGTTAGGAGTGTGTGCTTCTTTTCTCTAGCGTTGGCAATAAACTTCAAATCGATTCTTGTTGTGTGTTACATGTTGTGTTGGTAGTAAAGTACTTTTGTGATGGTGGCAATGATTTGCATCTGATGAAAGTGGGAATAAAAATGTTCTCCAAAGGTATGATCCACGGTAACACGCTACACCATTCATTTCTAATTTGGACTTTAAAACAACAACAAAAATAATGCCTCTTGCTACCGAAGGATAATACTGTTCACATAGTTCTTTCTGCTACACTCTGCATTTTATATTTATCATCCAGCGATGTTATGCCAGGGACTCTGCCTGCGTAGAAGATTCTGAACTTAAAATTGACCACGCACCCTATATAGAGGCGAGATATAGAGCTAGTGGACTTCACCACCAAACCCCAAATCCATCTTTTCTCAGGCAGAGAGCTTGTGTTGCATTCAAAGGAGCAGATGCTTTCGAATTGCATCCGGCGACAGTTAAGGCTAACTAAAGTTTACGTCATTCTCTTCAAGTAAATACAGTGCCTTAAAACAGGCCATGAGGGCTTCCTCCAAATCTCTAACGATTTGTCTTTCATAACCATAATCATCCTACCATCTATTTATTCAACGCCTCATACATAACCTCAGCAGTTAACACAATATAATGAAATAATTGAATAACTAACAATCTAAAAGTAAAAGCATGCAAATTGTAGCACAATACATCAGTAACTCACGCCAATGAATAATATATTCCATATCCAGCTAAGTGGTTGTTTGGAGATCAATTTGGGTCACATATTTGGCCCAGCTACGGTACAGTTGGTAACGAGGATTACAATAGGAAGCTTCCGCCATCTGTTACCGGAAAGAGTAAGTACGAGGGCCAGAGCTCAAGAACGTCAATATCAGAATTACGTCATGCAACTTCGAATTTTGTGAGTCATCTGTTTTAGGATGTGGTAGACAGCACCATCTGCTGTTTAGATGCACAGTTTATTTTCTGTTTACAACATTATTGCTCTGGAAATCTAAAGTTTCAGGCAAATTATAACTATAGTAGTGTGGTACAGTCTGTACTTTTCTTGAACATTGAAGTCTCAATTTACTTCTCCGATGTCGTTCCGAACGAAACTTTTGGATTTTGTATATGTAATTTTGCGTGTGCCTCCGCTTTTTATCATAGATGAGTTGCTAAGAATTGGATTTGAGTTTGGGCTTCCTCAGGGTGACAATAATTATTCTAATTCATCATTTGAAGTAAATGATGCAGGTGCCAGCGTAATAGGAGAGGAACTGGCATATACTATGCCCGATTATCCAGACTTAGTCCAATATGATGACCAGTTTTATAAAGCAATTTTAGTTGTAGCCTTCAAATACATCCTCTCATGTTTGGGTAAGTTGTAGTTGTTACAGTGTACAAAATTTACCTTTGTTAATATGTGATAGTGACTCGAATGAAACTGATTTAAGACTTGATATAGGGCACAACTCAGATGTATATGATTATGATTATCATCTTATCAGTCATGTATTTCAGGGGCTGTTTATTATATAGCAGAAACTTTTGCTTGCTTAATCACTGTGCCTAACGGATATTATTTTATTGTACAAATGCATTATGTGGATTACATGTTAATTGAAACTATGTTTCTGTAATGTAAAATACAATGTGTGTCACGATGTTCAAATTAATTTATCTTTCTACATTAGTTTCATGATTTTTTCATAGGTATGTGCTTGATTATCTTGAGTAAAAATCATATCATGTTCTTTGGTTTCTACTAATTAGTATTTGCATAATCACATACAGCTGTTATAATATCTCAAAATATTAGCCATTAACTCTTCTTCTGCATTATTTTTGTTGGTACAAAATTCTTTGCCTACATAACTTTTAAAATATTCATATCCCTACATTCACCCTGTGATTCAGAATGTGCAAATAAGAGTTTACTGATGTCTTATGCAATCTTTTTACATCTATCAAAAGCCACTTAACATCATGACAACACTAGCTATAATTTGGTAGAGTTGAAAAACAATCTTGTGATATTTTATGTGAAAAAAATATTTTTAATATAGGAAATTGCTTCTGCATATTGCCAGCATATATCCTACCCTCTTAGGAACATAGTTGCTGCATAAACATGAGATTCACAGGGCTGTGAAGTTTCAAATTGCAGAAATTCAAGATCCATGGAAACTGGCCTATAGCACACCTTGTATTATAACAAACTCACCCTCAAGAGTTGATACATATATACTGAACAGCGAATTAACTTATATTTTCTTTTCCCCAGGAATTGTCACAGCTGTGTGTGTCTTTATGCTGTGGACCAAGCACCTAGTCGTCGTGTACACATATTTGATTTCTGTTGGGATCGTTTTTGTTTCCTTCTGGACAAATGTGAACACCATGAAGATCATGATCTCAGCCATGACAGCTAATGAAACTGCAAGTGGAATGGGAACTCAAGTTTATACCAGCATATTGGAAGACCTTTTATCACTAGATGTAGGAAGACTTCTGGACCCAAATGGATATGCTTTTATTGTGATTCAAAATTATGCCATGCAGTGCATGCTAGCCTTCATCTTCTCCTATGTATATCTAGGGCCCCGTTACCCTATTATCCAAAAATGTCTTCTTGTCAGTTTCATGGCTCCGTCCATCTTAGCCATCCTACCACTGCCTGTCTCCATCCTGCATCATGCACCTGTGTTTGCAGCTTTGCTTCCATTGGCACTTGTCAAGTTTATTCTGTGGTACAGTGCTCTCACCGTCATTCAGACTGTCTGTGGCTGTTATCAACGTGCATGTAATTTTGTAAGTAACTTCGGTCTATCAGCACTGGTTGAAAGAGAATGGGTACGTCTGAATGTACCTGTAGTACTGCGTACATTTTGGCTTCTCCGTGTTACAGAACATGCAGTTTCATTGTTGTCAGACTATTTCAGTGTTTCAGATGACCAGCAAGCCCAACATAACCTCTTGGCTTTCACAGCTATGTTTAGCATAACCAAGAGTTTGCTTGTAAGTGGGTGTGAGACATTAACAGCTGTTCTTGGGATGACCAGCATTGTGTCATACATATGTCACTATGTTGGTAACTTCTTCCAATGGATCCTTCTCACAGAGGATGATGATGACAGAAGCATTGGAACAGTGTCAGCCATCCTGTTTTACATTCTGGCACTGCAGACGGGTCTTACTGGACTTGATCCAGAGAAACGTTTTATTCGCTTGTGTCGGAACTTCTGTTTGCTCTTCACGGCCCTCCTCCACTTTGTACACAATATTGTAAATCCTTTGCTGATGTCACTTAGTGCCTCACACAATCCTTCTCTGCATCGACACGTGCGTGCTCTGGCTGTGTGTACCTTCCTCATCCTGTTTCCAGCATCACTGCTCATCTATCTATGGTCTCAACATGCCACTAGCACCTGGCTGCTAGCTGTATCTGCCTTCAGCATTGAAGTCATAGTTAAGGTCGTGGTGTCTCTTATGATATACTCGCTCTTTCTGGTGGATGCCTATCGAAGTTCTTTCTGGGAGAAGTTGGATGATTATGTTTATTACATACGGGCATTTGGTAACACAGTGGAATTCTGTTTCGGTATTTTTCTGTTTTTTAATGGTGCTTGGATCTTGATCTTTGAGTCTGGAGGTGCAATAAGAGCAGTCATGATGTGTATCCATGCATACTTCAACATCTGGTGTGAGGCACGGGCTGGGTGGAGCGTGTTCATGAAGCGCCGCACAGCAGTCAACAAGATTAATTCCCTCCCTGAAGCCAACACTGAACAGCTCCATCGCCTTGATGATGTCTGTGCCATCTGCTACCAGGAAATGAGGAGTGCTAAGATCACTCGCTGTAATCACTTCTTCCACGGTGTTTGCCTTCGAAAGTGGCTGTATGTGCAGGACCACTGTCCACTCTGTCATGACATTCTTTACAAAGTTGAGATGGAAACTCCGAAAGACAGTTTCAGAATTGGTGACATGGTCGATTCCAGTAATAATGAAGCCTCAACTTCTGCTACGAGAAATAATAGTGATGAAACTGAGGAACCCATATATCAAAATAGTAGTCCCGTTACTCTTGAACAGCAGTCTGCTAATGTGACCAGGTGAAATATAGGAACTTAGACTGAGCCTGTGAAATTGATTTTTGGATGAATGTCGGTACTTTGGGAGACGGAAACAGTGAACACTAAAAATTGTCATAAAGTGATAAAACAGTAATAAAGAATTCAACATTTTTGTCAGATAGAAATTAAAATGTCAAATATAATATTGTCATTACCAACACACCGTGACCATAATTTCTTTGAAATATGATTAAGTCATAAGGGTAACTGATTTTATTAAGAAGAAAACCGTATTTTTCATTCCCTTCAGTGATTTGCTGCTGTGTGTGATCATATGGAAATTACCCTTAGGAGAATGAAATGTGTAATTGTGTCTGAATGTGTGTGTCTCCAGGTGTTTTGCCTCTTATCACTCCTGACTTAAAGGAGTAATTTAAAAATGCACAGTTCTTGAATGTTTCAGTCATCTTTGTTACCGAGCAGGTGACATTGTTATAACTTTTTTAATTATTGTTAACCAGTGGTTTATATCACATGGTAAGTGGTACAACATAGATGTTAAAACTAGTTGAATGATGGACTGAGTATCTCAAGCTTTCATTGTATTTATTTTCATTTACAGTTACTGTAAGTATAAGATTTTATTTTATGAAAGATAAAACATAAGTGAATATTTTATGCACAGAATGTTTAACAATTGGTCTGCCATATGGGGAGGATGTTGCAGGTAATATCAAGTAAACAGTGTTGATACAATATTGGTCCTACTTCCACAGTTTCAATATGCATGCAAGGAAAATAAATGAGAGTCCTAATTGCATGAATGCATTGCTAGTTTTTATAAGTTACATCTTAAAACTGTTATGAAAGTGTTTACTCTCCATTGAATAATTTTTTAATGCAAGCAACAGCATCTGTAATCTGCAGGGTTTCCTCTTTTGGTTATACTGTGGTTCTACAAGTAATTTCTTTTATTAGACCCCATAAAAATAAATCAAGTTAGGTTAGGTGCAAAGTTTTCAATGGCCAAGATACTGGACCATGATGACTAATCCAACAATTTTCATAATGCTGATTTGAGCAAGCCAGGACTTGAGAATCAAAACATGGAGTCACCTCATCATGCAGAATGAAGACCCTATGCCTTGTCTCTAGAGGCATGGCCTCCATTAAAAGCAGCAGTTTGAAATGATTCATGGGCTGCAAACTCTTATCTGGAATGAGCAAGGCTGCACACACTGAACTTTGACATACATTTTGAACAGTTACAAGTTGTCTCATAAAATGTGAGAAATTTAACTGATTTATTTTGCCATGTGTGCAACTTGAAACTGCCATAGCTCTGCAATGGTCAAAAGTAGGATCATTGTTGTATTAACATTTTTTTATTTGAAATTAGTTCTCAGATCGCCCCTTTATGCAGAACGATTTTGAAACACACTGTATATTTTATTAGTCCCAGTGTTATTAAACATATTTCATACTTAATGTGTTGTTATGTTCCCAGTTTATAGAAGATAGAAGTATTTACATTGCAGCAAAAAGTCAAATAATTTTTGGAGAGTTGGGAAAATCTGTGCAAAAATTTTTTTTCTATGTTTTCGTTAGCATAAGAATTGGTAACTTTTGTAGATTCTTCATAAATATAAATAAATTATTGATTCTTGTTTTTCTGTTTTTATATTAATTGTTACATGTCAAGAGAAGTTATAATTTATTAGCATTTGCACTCTGTACATTCCTTTAATGTCGAAAATGCCCAAAATAGGCAGCAGTTCCTTCCTCCATCTGTTTCCCTCTGCCCTGTCGGGGATCGATCCCGGTCGTCCAGTTCCACGTAAAGTAGAAGTTATATTAGGCCTTGTCGAAATTGTTCAAATAACTTGGGCTCTGAGGTGAAACATGCAGACCAGATGACACGACATACTCGTTGTATTTTAATTTTATGAATTTCAAAGAACGCATGGCTTCCATAGAAAGTATTCATTCTCAGCAGTGTGTCAGAACAGACACGGCACGCGTGCGCGAAAGTGTTAGGAGTAGGTTGGTATCTCATTGCACTGGCCACAGCGCTCAGTCGAACAGTCGAGAGAGAGGGTAGAGTGCGGACTGATACGCAGAGCTGGTGGCTACACGTGTGACTGAAATCGTGAGTATTCATCCATTTGTAGCTTAACCTAACTTAGCATTAACTCAAAACTGGCGCGAAACTGTAAACTTTACGAAGTAGCCATTTCGTGTCGTCTGCGTGGAAGATAGGAATATGACTCTCAACCCTAGTGTACGTCAAATTATTGAACTGAAAGAGCATTAGGTGGTCGAGACAGTACACGTGAGAGAGAAGTGGTCTTGCTGTTAACATCAGCAAGAAAATAAGTAGTTCACTGAATATGGTCATTCTATAAGCAACAAGCAGAGTTCACTGGGGTTGGTGTTGTGTTGCTTCTTCCCGATACGTAACCCACGATAATCTGTAAATTATGCCCTTTCCTCCCCATGTCAAGGTCTCAGGGCAGCAGAATTGGCACCAGAAGTGTTATATTCGCACGAGACATGTGACATCCACAGACGGGCAGTGACGTTTTCGAGGCCAGCTGTGCACAAGAAATTCCATGAATGGTAACCTAGATAGAAACTGTTTGTTTCGCAAGTGTCGCTTTGTTTTGTTGGCGCTGCTATGCACGTATCATGTGCGCAGTCACAGTCAGGTTCCCCTTAAATATCAAGTCAATGTCAGTCACCTTCACAATACAGCTACATCTATCACAAATCAACTCGTTACTTCACACTAACGCTCACTCCTTCCGAGTGGTGTGGCGAAAACAAAACTTGTATTCTGAAAGTACCAGATACAGCTATCTAGACTGCTTCATTTTTTCTTGTTTTTCCTCGTCCTGTCAGGAAAATATCCAAATAGAACCTTCCAAATCTTTATGTGTTCACAATTCATGATCATCTAATTCCACACAATACGACATACGTTATTGGAATGTCATTAACGTTCCTTAACGATGATATATCTGGCAATGGTAGTCTTCTGGGTTCTAACACCGTGTAGACTTGTAGGTAGATTCCAACACATACATACCGTCTCCAGTAATGAAGAAAACCCAGAAAAAATACGCCATCCTCAGCGTCTTGAGAATATCAAACCTCACACATTACACATCTGAAAGACTTTGGTGACGCCTGATTTTTAATCGGGAAGTAAAATTGGAAATCATAAGTTTTTATGAACTGCCGGTACAACTTCTAACGTCTGACGTCTTCCTCATTAATATCAAATGTAATCGTAATTCGCACAGTAATTTTGACGAATAGTGAGTACGGACATTCAGGCATCTCCACTGTGCGAACAACACAAAATGTAATAACCGCTCCTGCAGCCATCAACACGTCTGACAGCCTCGGATATCACCGGAAAATTGAAATTTAGGAAAACGCTAGCATAACCGAATAATATATGAATAGGAAAAACTGGATCACGCGAGGTTATCTCAGACAAGCTCCTCGCTTCATTAACTGGAAGGAACTACAAGGTGGGCTGCATCGTACCTCACAGTTCCCACACAGGACTGGACTTCGCCATATATAGTAGGATCGGGCATTGGTTTCAAGGCCTTGGTGTGTTTACGGAATATTAGCGTTGAGACACCGGTGTTAATCTGATTATAAAAAGGAAATCCCACCAAACAATTTGAAGCTCTTTAAATTCTGATTTAAGTTTACAAGGCGTAGAACAATACTGCTCTGTACACCTAGGACTACTGCAGTTTATACAGACTATGGCCGCCAAATTGCATGCTTCAAGGCCACTGAAGTACACTCTCCCCCCCACCACCCGGCTCTAAGTCACCAGTACAGCGTTGCTGGCTTTGCTACGGTGCGATTTCTGAGCTGTATTCACTCGCCTGAGCTCTCTATGATTTTGCTGTGACCTTGAAACATTCAATTTAGCGACGCCTACTGTAACAACAAAAGGAATGAGCAAGACGAGTAAATAATTTGTCAGGCTCGGTTTACACATTCTAAGCATCAATCGGAGTCTTGGTAGATCTATGAATATGTTTAGTCTTTAGCAATTACGGAGGCAGCAGGCACCTTTGAAACGTCGGTAAACTTTTAGAATATTTCACGGCGCAACAATCCAGAAGTCATGTTATTTTCCACAATTGTTATTCGATGTGATGAAACAAAAATACGGATCTCTTGTGTCAGTGTGTCTGAAGCAAATGAATCGACAGTGAGTCGTTAAACGGCGTCACACGAGCAAGACATTCTGCAAACTTCCGGTCGCTTATGGTGTCACCAGTACTTGGCCACGGCTGCAGTTATGATGAAAGACTTTGCGGTTTCTTGTTCCCAAAATAAATGCTGTACGTTCTGAAATAACATGGCTCAATCCCGTTGTAGCTGGTTTCTCCTACAAAGTGGATCCGTGTTTGACGTCTGTGTAGGTGTTGACAAAGTTTCACAGTCGAACTTTTTTACCCCGTTTTCTTGTCAGCCATTCCACGACCCTTGTATTCTGCAGCTTTCATCTGTCCTTCACGGATTACGCCGAAGCCATATTTTAATTGTCTTCGCTGTATTTTTGCATAATATCGGTTTGTACTGGGAGTCTCTTATTTCCCGTTCTGTTATGATGGGTTCATCATTTTTCTCTGTAAATATTAACTTTTGAATTTAATCAATAAATACTGAGTATCTTCTACGTACCTTCGTCTTCATTTTGTATATTCTGGTACATCTCTTGACATTTCTGTCTGAAGTAGTTAACATGTGATATATACTTGCATTACAGAATTACTTAACAGGAGCTGGTTACTTTTCTTCAGAAGTAATTAATTTTAGTTTGTTCATGATATATTTTTTCGTGAAACTATTTTTTATTTAGGCATGCTGCCTATCAGACACCTTAAGCATTCGACGTGCGTCATTAAGTAAACAGCAATAATCACTTTTAAGTATTGGTGGTGCAGTGTTGATCCGGAAAGCTCATTATACCGAATCGAGTGCTTGTCACTGAACCATATGTAGGCAGCCACATTAAAACCCAGTTTGAAAAGATCGCCTTCTTAGTCCTGAAGATGGAGACACTGTGTTCTCCGAAACTTTTACATCTACCTACGAGTCTACACAGCGCCAAAACCCAGACCATCATCAGCACAACCTCAGTATTTCATAAAACTTCGTAAAATAATCGAGCAACCATTCATTCTTCCAAGAGACCTTGTCCCAAATGTGCGATATTCACCAAATATTTCACCCAGTTCCTGCTTCCACAAATTGTGACTCTCAGTTGCAAAAATTAACACTTACGTAAGTTAATATGCAGATTCTATGAGAAGTTACAACAAAATTAATTGCGCGCTCGCTTTGGACAGGGCCCCTAAGTAATGGATCTTTGGTTTCCATAAAAGACGGATTATTTCCTGGTTAGCTGAGCGACAAAAAGCTTATCAAGAAGGACTCTGCTTTAAGGAGTTGACCACTTAACAAATCCTATCTCTTTTTTATAACACTTTAATTCAGAGGAATCGAATTGATGTCAGTATGATTGATAGGTTATTTAACGACGCTGCATCAGCTTCGAGGTTCGTAGACCTTTAGCGCTGAACCACCACTAAAGACATTAAGGAACGATGGGCGTGTAAAGATTTGGAAGGAAGCGACTGTTGTGTACTTCAGAGCACCGAGACATTTGCGCGGAGTGACAGAAGAATACAAAACATTTCTGTCAGCATTGCAGATTAACTCGGTCTTTAGTCGAACTGTGTACACGTGTATACTAACCTGGACGGTGATGTCAGGATGGAGACATCAGTGATATTTACTTTCATATCATACGACATCTACAGCACGTTTTAATGTTTACTCTTAAGAGTGTGAAGTTCAAGGATATTTAAATAAGTTACTTGTATTTGAATTTACACAGACTAACGTTTTAAGACGTTAAGAAGGGAAGTAAAGATGCGAATTCTGTACAAATAGTTCACCTGGCACGTGTTTTTAAGAAGCACGAACACTGAAATTGCTATAACAGAATTCCAAGTACGAAATGTCAGTGAAAGGAGACGAGGGAGATGCAAAGACAACTTTTCGCAGTAACACTAAGATGTTATGCTTTAAGTGCCTAAATGTGTCTGAATGAAATTTATATAGGAAGTTCATACGAAATATATACAATTTTACTCTAATACTGCTCATGAACCAGAAGGTACAGAGGGAATGAAAACTAAACGCATCTGAGCAGGTTATATAATAAGGTTTTCTGACCTACGTTTTAAAAATGTTTACTGAAGACATTCCTCGAGTTTGTCTTCAGTTTTAATCCACACGTTAAGCAAATCGAGGGGTTTTTTTCTTCCATCAAATGTCGACAAAGCAGTATCCAATGCTGGAACGTACTTGATGAACCTCCAAAAGCAGACTTCAAGGTGAGTTGGACAAACAAGATGGTAGACCCTTGAAGATTTCTGTCTTCTGGGTTGTTGCGCTGTGTAGTCTGGTCGATGTTTACCAACGTTTCAGAGGCCATACTGCCTCCGTCATCAGGGCGATTCATCGCTGTATGACCTCTGAAACGTTGGTTAATATCTACGAGACAACCCAGAAGACAGAAATCTTCATAGTCACCGCTGTGAAAACCTCAAATCTTACATGATAGACCCTTCATCGCCAATCCATTTTTATGGAAACTTGCGATTTACGAAATCCGTCACTCCCTTGTGGAAATGACGGAACACCTTGTCATGAAATTCCTCTGCTTGAGATGGCATTTTAACAATTCGGTGAAAAGATCTGGAAACGCCAATGGCACGAATTATAAACTTGACCGGACAGATTTATCAGGTGTGTTTAATTTCCCTCTGACTTTCACTTCATGAACAATGTTGCAGTAAAATGGAATACATTTCATGAGTACACGCTGTAAAGTTATTTTACTATAATGGCTACTACACTGATGTGTGTATTTACCATCTTTTCTTCTGTCTCACTGGGTTAGTGAGTTACTCCTTAGTGAGTGTGCTAACGACGTACATAGACTCACATCGAATGACCCTGATCTAAAATGAAACAAAATCGAGAAATTTTTTTTGGAAAATAAAGAATTTTCCTCTAAATTAATTACTTGTATAGAAAATTACTCACGTGTAAGATTTGGTATCGGTGTATCGTCCTGCTTAAGCAGTGGTTGCGAGGGTGGTCTGTATCGTTCCACTACCACCCGCGTTGTGCTGCTGTGATGTAAGGGACAGGAATACGTCGTAGATGGGGTTGTTCTATCACTACAGATGTCGTTCAGGTGCATTTGACATCGTCGTAGATATAAAATTATTCAAACACATCCAGGAATAATACTTTTTTATTTGTGGTATGTTCATGATATTCACCATTCTGCCATATTGTTGACCCGATTCTAAAAAAAAAAACTAGAATACCCTATTTGAATAAAAAATTCCATGGATATTATTCATCGTCTAGTAAATATAAAACGTAAAACGACGCTAATCCCTATCTCCGTCCGGAGATAGGGATTAGCTCTATCTAGTGGGCCCAACTGTGTAGGAACCTGAAGACGGAGATAGAGTCCCATCTCCGAAACGTCGTTTTACGTTTAATATTTACTAGACGATGGATAATATCCAAGGAAATTTTTATTCAAATGACTCTTCACCATCGTCAAGAAGTTTTAGATTTGATATAGAATACCCTAATTTAATTTTATTATATATAACAACATAATATGCTACTTATACATTAAATTTTGTCCAAATTGAACAGCGTACTTCTTGTTACAATCTTGTAACTTTAACTGATACTTAAGACATTGCTATCGTTGAATCGGACGAATTTACCAGATTTTTGTGCTCTAGGGTGTGGATTTTTTTCTGTCGTATTATTGGGCCTTCATGCGATTCTAATATCGGTATTCTAAAATATTTTAGTTATTCTCCTGTCTTTCTCATGCAGGTGAAAGTGATTACTTGCTGTGTGTTTTTTTGTGGTTAATTCTCTTGTCCCCCCCCCCTCTAATATAGGATAATTCTTAACTGTTTTCTATGAACTTTACTGCTACGTGATTGTGTTCGGGAAAGGGGGTGTTTGTAGCTGAAAAATTACTAAATTTATTGAATGGTAACTCTTTGTTATCGTCTTTGATTGGTGAAGAAGATTAAGGGCGTTATCATCTATGCCTGTCGCTTTTTCGCAACAGTGGGCTATGAGGTCACGTTTAAACCAATTGGTGTGCATTAGTTGTTCCAGTGGTTCCAATTGTTAGAACACGTTGTTGCAAGAATTCTTGCTGTAATTGTTTTGGTAAGTTAATTAATATTCAAGGAAAACCAGAAGATTCATGATGTTTCATGATCATTCTGCTCTTCATGAAATATTTTCCTTTTAGTTTTTGGCCTAAGGGAAGTAACACTCGCCAGAGCAGCGCTGTGAACAGGAATAAGAAAGCAATCTTTAGACTGGTTCTTACTTGCGAATTTCACAGCTTCCATTCTCATGAAATTAGATACGTTCCTAATTAGCTTGTGCATGGCTGCGATTTATTTGTCCTTCTTCGGTTTAGATCTAAAGATCTCCATTCGTGCTCATTAAATGCAACTAAAAACGAAAGTTACAGTTGGAAACCTACGAGCAAAACAGGCATACAGCATATCATTATTACGTTAGGAACAGCTGATACCATCTGCTGTGGAGCTGCTCGTGGTACAAGCCAAGTACGTCAGCTGACTGACGTCACAACAGGAGGTGGTATAATCTGGCGAATCCGCCTCTAGTTCCTAGAATGTCAACAAATATCCCCCGCCAAAATGTTGAAACTTCATCGCTGCATACGTTCTTCGTATATGACTAATAAGAGAATCCAATAGTCCGTCACCTCGCATTTCTTATTAGTCTCACTTACACGCAACAAGTCTTCCTGTGTCTGCGGTTTTCACCAGAGGAATTCTGGGTTCCCCGAGGTACTGTCATCGAAAGTATGTTTTCTTTTTGATTTTTTGAGATCCAAGTAACCAGAATGCATTACATGTTTTGGGAGTAGCGATTTCCTGAGCAACATAAATGTAGTGAGAATTCAGGTTGTCACGGTGGCGAGTATAAAAATGGCTGTCTTCTGGGTCTTCAACGTAAGTGCAGAGATGGCCTACAATATTATCATGTCTTTGTTCTCTTCTTATTTTATTTGTGCACAACTTCGTAATTTGTCGCTTTCGTTTTGATCATGTTTTCTGTTATTTATCCTTCTCTTACCCCACTTAATGGTACCTGCACCTTGTCCTGGTGGTGGTGCTCGAGTACCTCAGTGACCCCAAGAGCTACTGGTAGGGCCTTCCTAGCCAGATTGGTCGAGGGGGAGAGGTCAGACTAAGACAGGTACCCTGGTCCTCCAGGTCGGGGGTTGGTCGCAAGGCTAACAACCTTGCACCGTAAAAATGAAGATGTTTCGAAACTTCAATCAAAGCCTCGGACAGACGGACCTAGCAGAGGACCGAATGGAAGAGGAGAATTGAGGAGGCCATGGACCGAATACGGACCGGAGAGCCATAGAAGAAGAAGAAGATCCTTGTCTTACGTTTTCTCCTTGTTCTCCTTTATACAGATTTCTAGATGTGAATAGAGGCTTTCACATAGGTGCTGTACAGATTCTAACACTTATGTTGGTCGTGATGAGAAACAATGTCCTTACAGTAGAAAACTATGTTTTCGTGTCTGCCTTTACAAGTTTAAAATGCTTGGGTGCCCCAACATTCCTGGTGAAATATAAAGTTTCAGATTCTCATCAGACATGAAATCAATTTAACTTATCGTGAATTCAGCACAAAGGAATGAAAGAAAGAAAAGAGTAAATCGTTATAGGTACTCCACTTCAGTCGAACGTAAATTTTGGCGAGGTTAAGAGAGACCCTGGAGTTATTATGAAGTTGCTTAAGTAATGTGCCGTTCATCTAAAGAGGACAAACAACGAGTTTGTCAGCTGGGAGGTATTTAACACGTTTCGAACGATGCAGCGTGCATAAAACATAATCGAACACTCGTGTTTCCTGGATTTGGCTCGGACGTACCGTCGACTTGCGTGCCAGGTGCAGCTCGTATTATGTTTCTCCTTTGCTACCGGATTTGTTCAGACGGTGATGGATGTTAAGATAAATTCTGAAGGATCAGAAAGAATGGAGTTGTAAGATGATATGGTCTGTTTTGACGTGTACAGTGGCGTTTACAACTAAGATTTCGAGGATCACATGAATGCGGTTTATGTCAAAATTTGTTTACACAAAAGGTTATGGTTTTACGTTATATATACAATCAACCTATCTTGCATGTTAAAATTAAAAGAAGAGTGCAAAAGTGTAGACTACTCAGGCGGTGTTCATTTATTTTTTAATTAGTTCTATTCTGTTTAGCACACATCTCCGGACGTAATGTTAATTTATTGTATCTGCTAATCTGCCGCTCTACAAACACTCCAGACATCACACCGAAAAGAGCCAGAAATTTTTCTTCTCTTATTCCGCTCGAAATAACAGTTCTAAGCCTCGATGAGGAGCGCCTATGTTGGCATCAGTGTCGAATGCGTATTAAAATTTGACTGGAAAATGTGAAGAGAAAGGACGAGTCGGAAGACCAGAGGCTTACATGGGAGGATAATATTAAAATGGGTCTTAAGGAAATACGAAGGGCTTGTCAGCTCTGCTCCATGGATAACTGACGTAGTTACATTGTCATTTCATTCTACTTGTGCCAAGTGTACCCGACAATTGACCTAAATTGCTTAAATCTTAAGACTCGTTCTCTTCCTTACTTGATGTTAATAGCGTAACTGGATGATTGCTTCGCCCTGTCGTCTAGCCACTGCCTAGCTATTTATTAGTTTCATGCGTCCTGCATCCACATCGGTGCTTCGTAAAAAAAATGCCTTCTATTTCACAAATTACAGACGGCTTTGCGATGCAAAAAAATGTTCGTTCGACTTTCTGTTTAGTTTAGAGACGAGTTACGAAGATGTTTAATCTCATATTTTGTTCACAAAGCAGCAGAACCATGTAGACTGCGCGACCGAACCAATTTAAACTTGGCCTACATATAGCTCGCAAATGTCTTCTTTATAACCACATATGCCCATGACATATCTTGTTTTGGGCTCGTTTCCAGCGCAGTGCCATTCTCATCTTTGTTCGTGACGTGAATGTAGGCCCACACTCACACTTTACTCTGAAATCGAAACAAAGAAAAGAAAGCGTGTATCGTAAATACAACCCACACTCCCTTTCGTGTTCTCATTTTACAGCTTGAAGGTCGTGGAAAACAACGCATGTAAAGAAAGCACGCGTTGTACAGACCATGGCCAGAGATTCTAACTGCCCGAACAGGACGACAGACGTAAACTGCTGCTTGCACGATACATGTTTTCGGCTTTGGTACTAGATCTTCTTCCGCCATTCGGGGTTACGCTGTGAGCCTGTTCCGGCTTCAGTCCAGTCTCCGTTGACGACTCAGAGTTTTCGTAATTTTATTTTGGACACGTTATTCTACTTGTCGCCAATCTGGGTGAGAGCAACTACTCTCACCTTCTTACGTAAAAGTTCTCGCGGGCACCTTGGTGCCCATGGACGTATATGGATTGCAATCCCGACATTATTAAAACATGAGCTACTTTCGTATCGCCCTGATGATAGAGGCAGCAAGCACCTCTGAAACGTCAGTGAACTTCTACCGACTCCATGGCACATTAACCCAGAAGATAGCTCGTACACCTACTGCTCATATTTAATCACATTATATGGCATATTTACTTCTGACTGGTTTTACAGATGCTGAAGTCTGTCTCCCCTCAGCTGTCTCCGAACAGCAACTCAGAGGTTCTTGTTGTGAGGCTTAGTGTCGAACAGGAGCAATTGCTGGAGGCCCAATTCGGACGCGTCAAGAACCCACACACCACAGACTTGGTTCTGCTAGCAGCAGAAACAGGCCTACAGGAAACAGATGTGCAGGTTGGTTCCTATGACTATCCGATTTAAATCAGCCAGACAATGGCTATTCTGCATCCATCCTTCCCAAGAAAATTGTTAGAAGCGCGGAAAGTGATAAAAAATAAACATATGGAATCCTATTCACTAGGTACCAGAGGCGACTCGTGAGTCTGAGCAGTGGTAGTGCTACGCAAGAATAGTTTTTCAAAACATAACAATATAAATAAACGAAATTAAATTTACATCAGGAGAAATCCCATGTGCTCGGCGAAGGTTTAACTACTTGGAAGTCCGGAAGAGGGCGGCCATAATTTTTTACATAACTTTTTTCACTCTAAGACAAAAATAAATAATTTGCCGTAACTATGATACACTTCCTTTGCTCATTATCATTATTAGAACGAAAAATAGTCAGCACACAGAATTACTGAACACTCATTAACAATAACCACGAAACAGTTTGTGATACAGAAACCGGTCTAAAACACGTGGTACCGGACAAGGGTGTTTACTAAAAGCCGGCTGTAGGGACTGCAGCTCCGATACGCGCTCTACCAGTGAACTGCCCCTCACTCTACCGCCCGCCGCGCTCTCTGCTTTTGACCGGCTGGCCCCCCTGAAATCCTTGCAGCCAGATGATAGCCCCGTTCTGCTCCGCAGTCCTCGCCCGTGAACTTACTATCAGATCAGCCGATTAGTGGATAATGACAACGTAAGGGGCAATATTAAAATAATGATATAGAGGGGAAAAAAGTGTTACAAATTAAATAAATACAAAAGATATTTTATTTTTTAAAAAATTATAGGGGGTGCTGCAGCTCTGAGAGGTACCATGCGCAACCTCTAGCCAGTGAGCGTTTACTAGCTGTAATAACATTTATAATTTACAACTGATAAATGTTTCGGAGAACAGTCAGAGGTTAATATAGTCTGTATGAGATACAATCATGATCTTTCCAGACCAGTTATTAATCTTACAGTCTATTATTAAGGAATCCACTGTGCTTGGATGAAACTGTACAAC